GCAGCATGCTCAAACATGTCGCTTTAAGGCATGTGTTTAAAACGGTGACAATCTCAACATGTTGGATACCGGGCTCTTACGGCTTCCCCTCTCTACCATCAAATCATGCCAGCACCAAGCCACTGGAGCAAGTTCGAAGTTTCATTGCCAACTAGCAAGCTTAGCTATTAATTAAGTTGGAGGCCATCACAAAAGAAACGTCTCCAATGAGTCTCCTTCCACTCCAAGGTGTCGATCAAGGCCTTGGCTGCCTGCTTTGCCTTCACGTAGCGTCCCGCGGTTTGCATGGAACCGCTGACGTCGATGACGATGACCACGTCCTTGGGCCCTGTAGAGCCTGAGGAGTACCTGGTAGAAAGGGTTGGGAAGAGCCGAAAGGGTAGAAGGACTACTCTCAAAACAAAGGCCTCTTCAGTTTCCGCAACACAACAAAGCAAAATCGGATGCAAATTCCTTTGTTTCTTGAGGGGGAGCACCTTTTGATGTTCAAAACAATGAAGCCGGGCAAACCGAAATCTAAATGGTCTAGATGTAAACTTAACCAACCAGTCCTTGCCAAAACGAATCCAACCTAATGCAAAGTTCAACAGATTGAAGCTAAGCCGCTTCAAACTAACATCCACCCCCTCACTGGCAAGTTTGACTTTGTGCCAGATTCAACAGTGACAGGGATTCTGTTCAGAACTGTGGCCAAGTTCGGGGTGGCTAGTAACTAGTGTTGAACCCGCTTGTTTGTCGTCTACATGAACGTGCTGCCGTGAGAATCCATAGGCAGCTGAGTAGGCTACTCGTTCAGACCTTGCCGCAACACCTCCCCTCAGATGCCTTCCTGCTTGGGATGTCGCTAGAGTTGCTTCAAGTAGTAGCGTCCTTGCTCCTAGTAGTAAGGCCAGGAGCCCTAGTAGCGTCCTTGCTCCTAGTAGCGATGCCAGGAGCCCCTAGTAGCCTCCTTGCTCCTAGTAGCGATGCCAGGAGGCCCTAGTAGCTTCTTGTTCCTCTAGAGTCTCTAGAGGTGCAATCCCTAAACTGTTTGGTCAAAGACGCCACAGCACCAATCGCACGGACGCAACTTCACAACCAAGTGGCCACGGACGCAAACGTGGGTCGTAGTCATCTGCCTGACACCACTCCACAGCCGGCCATCCCAAATAGCTTCCGCTGGCATGATCTGAAAAATAGATGTAGCCCACACGCTCCATGGGTTCCCCCTCCTGGAAAGAACATGAAAGAACTCAATGAACCACTCAAACATAGTGGCGTATCAAGGCAAGATCAAGAGTGGTGCATCGTCGCTCAAGACACCAGTGTCCAGTGTCCAACGAATTGGTGTGCAGCGGGGAACAATTGAAAATTGATGAAATTTGATGTCTGTTGATGTCCTTTGATGTCTTTTGATGTATTCACCCCACTCAGGAGATCCCCCTTATCAGCTTCAAGTGCTGTCCTTGGCTGCCACATTCATATAGCTCTGGGAGACCGGCCGTGCCAGGCACCCGAAGCTGTCATCTGGATCCAGGAGGTCAAAGAAGCATCTTGTTAAACCCGTTAATTTGTTGGGTCCATGCATTGGGTCCAAGCTTTTTTGAATAGTGGCAGCTTTCCAAATGCGTCGGGGATTGAGATTGGATTTCTATAGAGACTGCAGCCATCTGCCTCAATGCACCTGAGGTTGTGGAGGCATAGTTATTGAAAAACTGGTCAAGAATCGGGTCTTGTGTTTGTCACATTAGAGGCACTGCACAACTGTTCTATAAGGCCTCTGGCATTCACCCCCACACTGCTGAAGTCTGTCTTCATCTTCCAAATGTTGCTCTGATGGGAGCATTCCAAACACGGACCTTACGGCAGCCAAAGGCTCATGAAGAGACGGAAACACCCAAGCTCTGTCTACACTCCGAACGAACAAGGCACGAAAGCACGTGACTCAACCATGAATGAGGCTACAAGAAGTGAGAGGCTGCTTGTGGCCAAGAGAAACATAAGCTTTAGTGCAGATTTTGCAGGACTTGAAACTTGAAACAAATCTGTTCTGGAACACCTGACCAAATGTGGAACTCTGACCAGAGCACCCTGGAGGGTGCTCCGCCTGCATTGAGGCTGCCCCGTTTGATTCATGTTGTGATTCGAGAATTGTTCGACAAGATTCAACAAGCCCATTTTGAAATGCCAAGGATTGCCAAGCTGCATTGATCCTTAAACTCGCAGCCCCGAACTTGGCTCAACACGCTTTGCCTCTGGCAGCAAGGAAGCAAAGCGAACTCTGCTGTGGCATGACAAATGTGCATGGTCTCGTGATCTTTGTCTTAAGCAACCCTCCAACCAAATGCACGCATGACATATGCACACATCTCCAGCAATACTTGCACATCAAATCCTAACGCCTCCATCAAAACTCCCAATTGGATGCGTGCGAGTCCAAAACAAAGGGGCCGATCCCCTTGCAGAACCAGTGAATCTAAAGCCAAATCCAGGGCCCAGTGCTTCCAAGTCGCTCGGTCTCCACTCGGTCTCGAGTGCTCCACAAGTATCCCAGCACAACGTCCAGCAGCTCAGTTACTTCACTCGCTGCAGAAGCGGCGTTGCTCTGAATCCACGTGTTGAACCTGGGCTGGCAACTTAGGCATACTGGCACTCGACAGAGGCCTAGCTCCAAGTACATCTCAGTACACTCCGCGGTATGAACTTGGCAACAACTTGGCAATCATGGCATCGACATGCATCTTTTAGGGAGTAGAGAAAACTCCTCGGCTGGGTCTGGTCCTTGCGACGAATTTGCAAAAAGAAGAAAAAGAAGATCACTCGCGTCACTCTGCTACCAAGTTGAAGAGGATCCGCTTTGGAAGCATTGTGCCTTGACCCACGTGTCACCACGAATGTCACCATCTGCAGAGACCAACGTGCCACAGAACCCTCGCCACAAGTCTGTCCTCGGTCGGCGCCATGGCACTGATTCGACTCTCCACAGGTCTGGTAGCTGTAGTAGGCGTCGGAATTCTCGAACAGCTGACTTCGGTATGGAACTGCCTCATGACACAGGGCGTTTCAAACAAGGAGTCAGTGTGCATGTTTGTTGCCCAAATGGAAACAAGTCCCGGAATTCTACCTTAAAATCGCCCAAACATACCCAAATATGTTGACATGTGCTGGAAAAGAACAACAAGACCATTGTGGTAGCCGGGCCACACCGGTGCATGCGCTCTTGTCCACATAGCACCATTTTTGCGCACACCAAGCAGGGGGTGATTCAACATGACCTTGGATATCAACTCAGCTGCAAAGTCAGGAATAGATGCGTGCCACAACATTGGTGCAATGGATCTCTGCTATTGCCAGAAGCGACGCCTGTACACATATATGCTGCACATGCTGCTATAAATCTATCCAAAAATATCCAAAGCATGAACTGAGGAATGAAGGCTGTGCACCATTGTGCACCCTACACAATGGGGTTCGAATGCAGCTGTGATGACTCGACAGCCAAGCTGCAGAAGGGCTGTAGACCCTGGTCATGTGCCTCCAACAATGATTCACACCTTCACTCCACTATCACCTCTATGACAGCTCTGTTTTCACCTTGCTTCTTACCAAGCCGAATCATGAAATTATGTGCCGTGCTCAGCAACTTTCTGACCTTCGTCTTCGTTTTATTGAAAAACGTTTGTGGTTCATGGCACACAGCCGACAGGTGCCTTGCACTCCAAGTTCCCATAGTTCAGGGGATAGTCGTATCCAGTGCTCTGCCCTTTGGGCGTATACCGAATCCTCAGGGTCCGTATGCATATATATATATATAGTATATATATATATAGTATATATGCATTTGTTTGCAATGCAAAAACTGATGTATCTGTCTTTTGGGGTGCTCGACTGAGGAGTCTTTGTATGTCTTTGTCCTGGATACAAAGAAACTGCACAGCTTTTGGTTGTAGAATGCATTCAACCGCAGGATCTCACCACTATCGCGAGCTAGCTGCTAGCTATGCACAAAGACAAAGGGACAGAAGGCAAACGACGCAGAATGCAGCTGTACAATGTTTACAATTGAACCCCAAATCCAAAAATGCTTCACCAAGATGCACATCCCCAACGCGATAGTTTTCCAGATTGGCCCATTCTGTACAAGGACACGTAGGCATCCCAGTGGGCGATACATCTGATGATGCCAGCCATGGCAGCGCCCATGGCACCAGAAATCTCAACATAGCAAGGAGATGTGCATGACCAAGTCATGACCAGACCAGAAGAGAAACTGTCGTGGAGGTCATCACCATTAGGTTGGAGGCCATCGCTACTAGGGTGGAGGCCACTGCCTTTAGGGTGCTCTTTCCAACTTTGCGAACCACTGAGCCAAAACGTGACGGACATTCTGTGAATTCCATTTGGTGAGTCACCTGTTGCCATTTGGAGCCAAGACTATGTATGCGTATAGTGTATATGTATATATGTATTATATATCAAGTCTCACCTCCGATGATCTACCATGTGCTCATCGTCAGCTCATTTCTATTTTATGTATTCCTCTCTCAACGCGCCGAGGGTTGTGTGAAGGTGGGATGTTGGACTTAGGCAAAGGATACCCTGAAGCATAGCCATGAACCATGAAGCATACCCCACGTGCAAACATCCTGGCTGGCGAACGTTAAAAAGAGACATACAAATATCCTTTCGGTAGGGTATTTGAGAGCAGACCCTTGCCGTCCAATCAAAAAAAAATACGTAGATGGAATAGGAGATATATGATCCGTTTGGTAGGTGAGGGTGAACCTAGTAGCATCCAAGGGTGGTTTGCGCAAGTCGAACTGGATGGGCACTCCAGTGGTCAGGGAGATGGCAAGACTACTGTCTATTCCAAAAATTGAAGAAAGGAAAGGAAAGTCCTGTCTAAATGTCAAAAGAAGCACTTAAATGTTAAACAATAAGAGGATGAGAAAACGGTTTAATGAGATTGCTTGGAAGCGCCAGTCCTACTTCCAGCCCCAGGGTGGAGCCAAGTCCCCTGCGCGATTTCGTCGTGCTTCGTCCCATTTCACCTTAGGCAACAAACCGGAGGATCAAAATGCTCAAGATCAGATGCGGTAGCTTGAGAACTCACTGTCGTTTATGGCTGCAGGCCTTCTCTTAATATGCATTACATGTGTACATACATAGATGTTGATATAGTTATATATACAATTATATACGTGTATCATATATATATGGCATTTCTGTCGTCAACGGGCATGCTGCCCTTCAGTCAGTTACAAGCTTTAACAACTCTGAAGCCGGCTTTTGAATCCAACAAAGAGGATTCAGCAACAATCTCTAAGACGATTAAGTTGGCAACGGGTTCGCTGCATTCAAATCGAATCCTGGTCAATGAAACCCACGTCTGTGGCCACCAGGCCGCGGATGCACTCAACTACGCTCTCCAAATACCAGGAGGAGCACGTAGGCAGTATGGAGAGCCAAGTGGTCAGACGGAGGTCCTGCCTGACTCGTCGGCAGCTCTTTTCGAGAGATCTATAGAAAGAAAGAGTTTGGAATGTAGGGGCTTAGCCAGCTTAGCCCATCCACAAACAAGAACAACCTATACTTATACAAGTGTTTGGTTGTGTTCACATTTTTGTCCAAGGGTTTCAAACCGACCCCCTTGTCATGAAGGTGACAAATCAAACAAAGCCTTCATTCGACAGGCCTTCGGAAGCAGCTCAGCGCAGTGCACTGCCCTGGCAGGAGGTAAGCAACTGATAGTAGTCGAATAGACCGAATGAAAACTAATAGCAAGGGCATCTAACCTGATAGCGATGGCCTCCAACTTAATAGCAATGGCCTCCACCTAAAAGACCCACATGGATGAATCCGGCACGCTTTCGTCTGAATGTCACAATCAGATGACAAGACACCTACCAAGCGAAAAAATGCAGCGTTGGGCATGGCACGTCAAGTTCAGAGATGTCATGATTTGCAAGGACACTGGTTTGTTGAGAGCTGGTTTTTGAGCAACCAAGTCAACATGAGCCATACAGTGGCTTCAGAGTAGATTGCAAATGGGAGTCCTTGTGAACCATCGGCTTGTAACCCCCGCATGCGAAACCCAAACCTTCATCCCAGTTCCTTTTTAGACACCTCGCTTGCGCGCGTTTGCTCTCCGAAAAAGGAGAAGCCAACCTTGGAGCACAAGGCATGTGTGCATGGCATGAGGTTCGCTCTGTATGAACCTTGCCAAGACGTGTAAACATTACATCAACACTGCCTCTCGATGGTTTGACACTCGATATCTCTTTTAAAGTTGCCAGCATCTTTGAAATACGCTGGCCTGAAGCCATCTGTTTGCGTCAAAAGGGCGACAGCGTCAATCACAGAATCAAAGCGGTGCTCCTTCAAAGCTGACCTGTGACCTGTGTTTGCCGCACATTCATGTGGTACACCCAACTTCGCCAAGGCTGCGGCGGAGATCTGTGAGTCAGGGTGGCTGCAACTGTCCAAACCTGGGATCTGGCACTAGGCAGGAAAGCCGCGAGACAGGACAACCTAGCAGACTTGTTTGAAACGTCCGACAACACCCATGACATAGGAAGGGACAAAAGGGAGGCTTGGGCCTGGATGATCCATAAGATTGAACATGAACCTGCACTCAAACACCATCCAGCTACAATACTCTGGATGACAAAACTGATTAATAAAGCCTTAAGCCTTGGTCCATCATTGGGCGCTTCGTCAGAAATGTCAAACACGCCAAGATACCGCCTCAACTCCGCCGAACAGTGCGGAGTATAGGACCATCCTAAGGGCAAGCGGGCCGACTCTTGCAAGTTGGCAGGTCTCATCAGTAAGTCACGTCGATTGAATGTTCCTCCATGTGGGAAGCAGAGGGTCTTCACTTGAGGCCTCTCACTCGACATAACGCGAAGCTGGTAACTAACTTCTGGAATAGCTACTTTTCTGAGGGCAACAAATTCCATATTTGCCAAGTGACTTGCCCAGTCGCACATCACAGGGCAAGCGAGCAAGACATTGACCTCAAGTCTCACAGAATGCCCAGCTTCCAAACTATTTGAGCCTGACAGTAACTTTGAATCAGGTTAGTCATTTGAGTCCTTTACCGGTATATCTTGTGCCTTGGCCTGAGCCTATTTGTGTCCCGGTCTCTGCTTCCATGCTTTTTCCTTTCCCATTTTCACGTTTCCCGTCTCACTGGCCGCTCGCTCTTTTTCACTCCCTCGGCTTCTTAGAAGTCTTCACCGGTGACACCTCCGTGGCCTTAAGCCACTGTCCTCCACCCTTGCAATTGTCTAATTGCACTCTCACGCGCCAGAGGGTGCGGTCCCACTTGATCTCGGCGACCGTCCCTTGCCGTTCGCCGCCCGCATCCTTGGAGTTGCTTAGGGGGCCGGGCGAAATACAAAATCTTCACTATAGAAGGGGGCTTGCCCATACTTGGGGAAAGTAGAAAGTCACCTGAAGCAACACCACGCCGCGCTCTCGAGCCCAAAGTCTGAGAGATCCCACCGCCACCGGACTCGTTGCATCGTCGAGGCCGGGCACGGCAGGATCTTCTCACCTCCCCGCGCCCACTTTTTTCCCATGGCTCCAGTGGGGAGGTGCTGGGATTTCGGCTGGGCTTAGAGGACTTGAGCCGCAAGCTACAGCGACAGTGAAGGTAGCACAAGCGTCACTACCAAAGACCCTGTGCAAGTCAACTGATGGCCAACCCTAGCCAGTGAACTTGACCTTGAAACCTTTTGCCTTCATGCACTGACATTGGTGTTGTACTTGAAACAGCCATCATAATTGATTGCTCTTGCTGTAGCAGCGTTCCATTTTCGTTAAGGTAACATGTGCGATGCCTGTTGTACTCAAGTCAAGTCTGGAAACAAAAACGCGAATAAAACTGTGAGACAACAAGAAACGGCAAGTCCATATCTGAGCATCCCAACCCACAGGTGTGATCACGTACCTCATTCTTCCAGCATCATGGAAAAGGAGGCTTGTTTGTTTTTTGCACGAAATGTGCAACGACACAAGGATTCTTGTTTGCTGCCTGAAACCTCTTGAAAAACACCTTGAAATGGTCACATTCTTATTTTTAGTGCTGCTTTCCCTCTCGCAAAGCTTGTGTCCCGATGTTGGCTACGGACCCTGAGCAAGCTTGCCAGCAGGTTGACCAGCAAGCAGCAGCTGAACCAATCAACTATTTCACAAATCAGCAAGATCTGGACATGGCTCAAGAATAGGATATATATTGTCCAAAAGCACAGTGAAAAGAAATGTAGAATAATCTCTGTCCATCCACGTCCGTGAGTCTTATCTTTTGAGCCACATCCATCTGGCTATGTCTCCGCGCCATGTCTCTTCTTCTTCTCTGCTCCACCGCACTGCATCTGCTGGTCTAACCTTGGAAGATGTGATGCGAGGCATGCCATAGCTTTTGCATGCTTTTGCAGAACTTTGCCTCCAAGTTGTCCTAGCAGTTCCCCAAAACAATCAGGTTCCAAGGCAGGAGAGAACTTCAGTGCCGAGCCGATGTATATATTAATACAGTAATTAACGTAACATGTTTCTCGCATGGTGCTTCACAGTCTGCCAAAAAACGAAACTTGGATGTTGAAAGGCTTGTAAAAATGGAAAAGGGACCTGCTGCACCTCTTCCGAAACCTCTTCTCATGCTCTTCGAGGAGGCTGACCGAATCACTCCACCAGGTCAATTGCCACCCTCACCCGGCCGCCCGGCTCCCTCTTCCACCGCCCCGGTGGCCCGCAAGGTGGTCACCGCCTGCCAAGCGAGCCAAGCGAACCGGAAGACATGACATGCTAAAACAACAACCGACCGATGCTACCGGTAAATTATCTGCAAGTGACAGGAAGCTACTGATGTTTACTCGTCGGTGGTCTTGGAGAGATGGACTTCTTGGGGACTATGGGAGTTCCTACAGCTTGAACAGGGCAAAGTTCATCGTTCCTATGATCTCTTATGATTCCAGCCACAAGTTCAAGGGCAACATTCAAGAACTTCGCCATTGGATGTGCAGGGCTTCGTTGACTGTCGGCATGGCTTGTGGTAACGGAAGGTGCTTCAGTCTCCAAGAATACCTAGGTCGCATTCTCGCATCATCACAGGCAATTGTTGCTATGACTTCCGTACCCAAGAAGCTCACCTGATCCACACGGGACTTGGGCGGTGGGTCCAGGGCTTCCGAGAAACAGCTGGGCTGCAAGCCCGAGCTCAAGACCTAAAATTCGCCGCTTTTGGCCAGTCGTTTCGGAAGCTCTTAGGTTGGAGGCCATTGCTTCTAGGTTGGAGGCCATCGCTTGTTGGAACAGCTTCTGCAATCAGAGGAATGCTTTTAGCACAATCCTGGTAGAATATGAGTGGTGAGTGTCTTCACTCATGACTCTGAGATTCTCCGCTTTTGAAATGGGGGTCCCTTCACGCTGCATGATGACACCTAGCAGCCGTTCCAATGTGTTGAATTAGGTATGTCTATATGTATATATATGTATTTATATATATATCTATACGGTGTATGGTGTATATATGAATGTAGTTAATTATACAAATATATCTGTGTGTGTGTGCGTGTGAGACCAATGTGCGACTGTCATTTGATGCGCGCTGCAGTTATAACACAAGAAGAAAGGAGTGCAACTACGAGTCTGACAAGTTGATGACTCGCACGGCGTGGGGAGGTCGCTTAATGAGGGCAGCTTTGATGTGCACACGACCAGAGTACACTTCCCGGCACAGGTTTCCCACCTAGAGGGGAGGCGAAAAGATTGGGAAAACCATGGAAAACCATGACAAACCAAAACACCATCTAAGTACAGTACTTTCATTCAATCTTGGATAGGCTGGGTAGGGACCCACAGCAACAGGGAAAGTTAGTGCTTGGAACAATATGCAGGAATCAATCTAGCACTTCAATAAATGGTTTGGTGAGACCAGCACCTTCTTCCTAAAGCTCCTTTTCTTGAGGTCATCACTGACAGCATTAACTCCATGAGCGAGCACCTCAAAATCTCAGGCGTTGGCATTGCCTGACGCACGAAACCGCTGGGGCGAAAGCGTGGGGCAACCAAGAAGCAAAATAACATCATGGCAATGGCAACGCAGAACATTTGAAGCAGAGTTCCCCGCATGCTCTACACGTGTATAAGACATGATACAAGTGGCTTGGTTTGCAAAACATGCCATGGCGCAGATTGAAACGCATGCATCGGTTGAGAAGGGGTCAAGAGTCAAGACGCAACGCAATTGCAGGTATCAATGATCATGTAATGCGAGCTCAACTTCTTGCGGCGCCCGAAGGGCATCATACCTCTGTCTCCAACATCCCTCGGCATCAGTTCTGGAGGCCAACGGTCCTTGCCTGAAGTCTCAACTGGAAACGGTTCTGGGTCAGCAAAGTAAATCCTCAGCGAGGCAGAAACAAAGGAGACAACATGAGAGGCACATGTCAAACCTTGGCTTCTTGCGAAAAAGGAATCTCTGTCAATGATTTGAGACCCAACTACAAGTACTGTGAACGCCCAGGTCAATTGTTCTTCTCCACTCAACGTCGTTGTATCCCGCGAAAGTCACAAACCTACTCAGTTTGAAACCATGGAAGTGGGATGAAGTGGGCAACATCAAGCCAATCAGGATTCCTTTCTTCCCTTTCCATCATGTTCTCTCCCTTTTCAGGTGGACCTAGATGTCTTCCAATCAGGCCCCGGCCAAAGCCTTTTTGAACTCGCCCGGCACGACCTTTGCGTTGCATCACCTGTGGAAAATGGGGCAGAGTCGTCCATCCAAAGGAGGCAACCAAAGCAGGATTGTTTCTTTTTTACGGCCGCTCTGCCCTCCACTCTACTAGCCATGGCCTCCACCCTACTAGCGATGGCCTCCAACCGAATAGCAATCTAGAAGCAATAGAGGAATGTTATGTTCGCCGGACCCAGGCAAACTCTGAGAGTCTTGAAAATAAGAAAAAATGCAAAACAAAAGCACAAAAGACACATGAAAAAACAAAAGCGAAGAAAAAAAAGGACATCCAAAAAGCAAAAAGAAGCAAATGAAAAAGCAAAAGCAAAAAACAAGCAAATCCAAAGAGCAAAAAAAAGCAAATGAAAAATTAAAAGCAAAAAAGAACAAAAACAACTCATAGCAAATCCAAAAAGCAAAAAAACAAATGAAAAAGCAAATGGTGTCCTATTTTTTTTGCTTTTGGGGGGTGTCCTTTTCTTCGTTTTTCTTTTCCATATGTGTTTTCGCATGTTTATGTTGTTGTTCAGCTTTTTTGTCGCATTCTGTTTGCCTTTTGTTGTTTCGCTTGTTTTTCGCTCTTTTTCCGCTTTGTTTTCGCACTGTTTTTTTCCGCTGGTTCGTTTTGGCGCCTTTCGGGGACGTTTTTGATTGCTCTATTTTGGCTTTTGCTTTTTCATTTGCGTTCTTTTTAGCTTTTTGGATTTGCTTGCTTTTTGCTTTTGCTTTTTCATTTGTCTTTTTTGCGTTTGCTGTTTGCTTTTTCATTTCTTGTTGTTGCTTTTTGGCTTTGATTTTTTGCCTTTGCTTTTCCGTTTGTTGTTTCTGCTGTTTGGATTTGCTTTGTTTTGCTTTTGCATGTTGTAGTTGTTGTTTTTTGCTTTTTTGTTCTCTTGCAAAACGATCAGAGATATGGTAAGTGGTTGACATAAGAGGAATGACTTCAAGAACTCATTGAGAGGACTAGTATGCTGGAGACAAGCCATCTCGCGAGTTGCAGGTGTGACGCCATGCATGAATTACGATCGACATGGCCTCTGCTTTTGAGATGAACTGCTCTTTCAAGGATGAAGTGTTGGAAGGCTCGTGATATCTTTGACCTCTGATTGTCGGAGCTGGTAAAACAAACTCTCGTCAACAACTCTCCAGCTGCATGCCGATATTGGATGCTAAACTAATATGATTCCGACAATGCCTCACATGTTGCAACTGATTGCTTAAGGCGTCAAAGCGAAAGTTTCTCCAATAGAAGTTGGGCCTCACTCAACAACAAGTGCTTAGCCATAGCCGAAAGTAGGGCAGGGACATACCCCACACTATCCAAGAGCGTTCCTAAAAGCAATCTCGATTCCAAAAGCACCAACATGCAACGATGCTCTCACCAAATGTTTTGTCCTCTGAACAACATCTAAGAACTTGATAGGAAATATTGAACTGCGTGGGTATTCTTTTCCTAATGTCCGCACTGCCACAAGCTTCCAAAGTCTCTGAGTTCTTCTAGGAGAGAGAGAGAGAGGGAAAAAAAGAATCCTAATAGCGATGGCCTCCAACCTAAGAGCGATGGCCTCCAACCTAGTTGCTGATCAGAGCGGCATTTCACTTTTCCGGAGTCAACCACAAAGACCACGTCCGGAATCGTCACACCGGTCTCGGCAATGTTGGTGCCTGGAATGGCTTGCGTTTGCAAGAGGACAGGTTGAACTGAAATGGAGTTCTGCGATTTTGTTCATCGTCGCCGCTTTTGTTGACCTAACCTCATCTTAGAGTGGCTGTGGAACCACTGTCTTTCTCAGAAAGTCTCATAGCAACCCAACAGGGCCAACACCCAAGTTTCGCACTTAGGACGATCTTCCGCACACCTTTCCGTGGAGCATCAAAGACCTGACGTGGTCAGAGACCAGAGCAAGCAACTTACATCTCAGTCAAGCTGCCGGTGCAAATGATCACTTCATGAGTCCCAACTTCAAGAAGCAATTAGTAACAAAGGGCATCGTTACTAGGAGCCAGAAGCTACTAGTAGCTTGTGGCCTTACTAATTACTAGTAGCAAGAAGCTACTAGGTGGAGGCCATGGCCATTACGCAAATGATCACTTCATGACTCCCAACTTCATTTGGAGCTTCTGTTTGGACCCCTTTCGTTTCTTTCGCCGCCTTGGCGTGATCCTCGCCACTCAGCATGCTATGGAGTGTCAACACAAGACCTAACAGTTCGACGAGGCCATGGTCATTGACATGGTAGATGAAGAACCCACCGTACACCAATCAGTTCAGTTTGGAGGTGGTCATATGGAACCCCTCTGTCTCCTCTAAATCAGCCTTGCCTATCACTCAGAGCTGTCAAGTCTGTCAAGCTGGTTGTCCAGCTATGTGTACAAGGGGTCAAGCTGCAGCTAGCTCAGATGAACATCTGGATCTTTGGGTAAAGATTTAAGCGCAAATGTGAAATAAGAGTGTAGCTCCCTGGTTGGGTGCCGAAAAGTGTGCACGGCCATGTGACCTCTCCACCAATCAATATCGATGGGGTATCAAAGCACTGCGCAACACCGCTGAAGATGCACCAAGGGGCAGGAACTGGGATCGCTGAAGAGGGGATTTCCTCTCAAGCGTTCATGCATCTTGGTGATCTCCATCATGCCCGGCCTAGGTGCGGAAGGCTCCCGGCCTGAAATGGTTGAATCTGCTTGCTTGGCCGCCCAAAAAGCTGCAACATGCTAGACCCCTCAAAGGTGCCAATCCAATCGAATCCCTGAATTATCATGAATTATAACAAAAGCTACTAGTAGCAAGAAGCTAGTAGGTTGGAGGCCGTCGCTAGTAGGTTGGAGGCCATCGCTACTAGTGACAAGGGCATTATCAATAATTATCACGTCCATTGAGTAGTGTGGCCACAGCCACAGGGATCTGGCACATTCAGAATACAATATCCTCTCAGCTTTCCTGAAATGTCGTTCTCTCTCCTTAGTGTTCTAAAAGTTTGCCACTCACTAACCGAAGCAACACACCTCTAGAGTGATCCTCCCAAGATCCCTTCACCCAGCAAGGCTTTGGCAAAAAGACTAAAATCGCCCCCTGGTCTCGCGGAACGTGGGCAAACTGGTCAGATCCCTGGCAGGTGTATCGCTGATGGCAGCGTCGGACCGGATAGGAAGGGGAAGAGAAAGGGGAAGTATTGGGAAACGCTGTCTTCACGTCACAAGCCCTCATCTTTGCAACGGTTCTTTCTAACGATCATGTAGGTAGCTTAGGCCACCTTTCGTCATGATCCAGCCACAGCTGCTGGCAACTCAGGATAGATTCCAAAGTCTGCCAGACAGAGTCTGCTGGTACAAACCCTATCAAACATGTAGCCTAAATGAGAATAGAGCAACTAGAGGAAATGCTGAATGATGGAGAATCAAGAATGCAGTCATGTGCTCGCAAGACTATCCAGTTGTGCAAGAATTCCTTCAGAAACGCTTGGAGAATCTTCAAGATGTATGTAGAGGTAGCCCTGCAAGAAATTGCTGCTTAATGCAAAAAAGTATAAATAGAGCATCATCAAATTATGTTCTTGGAGACTGCCTCGATGTATTCCAGCAAAAGCTCCAGGAGGTCGTAGTTAATGCGTGTGTGATCCTGTGGCACTTTCGTTGGCCGCAGCTGGGTCACAGAAATGAAAAGCCATGCTGTTTTCTCGTCAAGGCAAAGTTGCATGGATACCTGGGACGAGGTCAGCAACTACATGTAAAGACGTAGGTTGGACCTCTTGCCATATTTTATTCATGATGAGAATGACAAGTCAATCAGGGCGAGGTGGGCAACTATACATGAATTCAATAGACATGACTCGTACACCAAAGAAAAAATAACAAAATTGTACCAATACATGTCTACAATAACTGATAGCAATGAATCTTGCATGTTTACATACTCATCAACCGTCTGCGATCGTGACAAACAAAGCGCAAATCACTTGGACTCTGAAATCGATCTCCAAAAAACAAGCGCAGCGAAGTGGGGCCCAGGCCATGTAGGACAAAGCTCGCATCGTTTCAGCCTGCGTTGGTGTGAAAAGTGCTAGAGCCGTGTTTGGCTCACGTAGAGGTGGATCGTCTCAATCCACCAATGCGTGGCCATACCCGTCCCAGGATCTAGCTTGCGAAAGTGTGTAGCAAGCAACTTAAACTGCATGCAACAATTAAGAATCAGCCCGGACTATGTGTGGACACAAAAGCGCGTACCGTAGCTGCTAGCTCAGCTTCTGTCTGTGGAGGAATCCTTCCAATAACGATGCCTCGTAGCTCGCGTCACAGGTCTCTGCTTCATCGTCGCAGCCTATAGCACGTAGCATCTCGTAGCAGTGCGCCAAATCCATGGTCTAGTGGTGCGAATATTGGTAGCGCGAGAAATTCGAAACATAAAAGGCTTGCTTCCTACCCAGTGCCGGCTCCTTCATTCGGCTGCCAAAGACAGACTGGCCCGGCTGGTCCCGAATGAGTGCATACAGGATCAGAATGACAAGGAAAATCAGGTTTGCGCAGGCAAGGAGGAGACAGCTTGGGGCAAAGGTCTTTTCCGACCTGGACACAGAGTAATGAGGTTCGTGCACAAAAAGGCAGGCAGCGGACAGGCAAAAAGAAGATAGGCTAGGATTGGAAAGAATACGTGGCAGGAATGGTGTTTCTTGTCTTTAGGGCTGCGCCATCATGCGTAGTGTAATTAGTATAGTTGGGCACAACCCACGGAGGAAATCTCTCAACATCTCCTCTTTTGAGCACTCGAGCTCTACAAGCACAGGTCGTTGTCTGTAGTGTCTAGCCACATGAATTCTCCAAATGCGCTCACAACATCATCATGAAGCCAGCATCTAGGAAGACTGCAAGTGGTAAGGGAAGGATAAGAGACTACATGTCCATGGATCGTCTCCAGGCTTCGTTATACCCAGTTCCAAATAATCATCCCACTACAAGTTGAGCGGATTTGAAGACAGTCCAGAAGGCCATCGCTTCTGGCAAATGGAGTGGGTATTGATTCATACCAAACCATAAAAAGTTGCCGCTTGGTGCGGGGTTACGGTTATAGCCAATAGCACTGTGGTCGTGCCAATGGAAGCTGAGGCTAGTTGGCTCCCACAAAGCCCTTGCCATTGCAGGGATCAAAATATTGTGATAAGCAAGGCGTAAGGGCTGCCTGTGCAAAGTGACCCATACATCAAATGCAAATCCTTCATGTTGGGTTCATCGATGAACAACCTGCTTGTTGCCGGTTGCAGGTTCAATTTATTATTCCAATGCTCAGTACCAACTACAAAGTTGCAATTCAAACCAAAATCCCTCTCTCTCTCTCTTGACGGCCACAGTGACTAGGTGGGTGCACGTCTGGCAGACACCCAGTGATGCATACACGTTCACGCGAACTGGCGAACTGCCGGATGCGAAAACCACCTTTCCGACCGAAGCATGTTTCAACTTAGGTTTTGAAACTGAAACCTCTGAGTTCGGCAAAAGGATGTCATGTTGGAAACAAATCAGGGGTCATATCAAGCCATTTCGCCCCGGTCAGGCTTTGAAGCCCTGGTGCAATCAGCAAAGGCACTCAAGGATTCCAACATCATGAGCCAATTGTTTCCACGAACCGTACCTATTGGCCTAAGGTATCCTATATAAGAGGATTCTGGATGCCTTCGAACTCTGCTTTCCCGCTTTAAATGTGGGAGATCCTTGACCACCGCTGACTCTCGCCGGCCTAGACTAAGGTCTTTCTCAGTCAGCGGAGAATATTGGTGCAAAGGCTCACAATTGCTCCTGTGTTTGTTTCTCTCCTTGGTGAGCAAACTGCTGTCTCGGTGAAAAACGATCTGAAACGACGGATAGCCGGAGAGCGAAGAGTAAGCAAGGGTGTGCAACCAAGAAATGCCGTGCCCGCATGCACCAAGCATGGCAGCAAGTAATGCTGCACAGTTGAATCTAACGTTCCTCTGAGGGACCAAGGGACCACGACGAATCACCACTTTCTTCGGTGGTTGCTTGCAAAACGCAGCTTCTTTGGAATGTACTTGGTTTGGGGTGTAAAAAAGGAGCCCTTGTTCATGGTGGACCACAAGAGACCATTCGATGATGCCTCCTGTTTCCCACTTCATGGAATTCCATGGCAGAGATGATGCAGCCTGGCTGTTGGCACCAAGATTCCGACAGTCTGCGCTCCTGAAACCAGCTGATCCACTGGAATCGTCGACACAGGCTGCCCAACCACCATCGCCTACAGTTAGTTACACTGGAAAACATGTGGAAATCAGCCAAGAAAGATTACTACTAGTTACTAGGAGCAAGGACGCTACTAGGGGCTCCTGGCCTTACTACTAGGAGCAAGGACGCTACTAGGAGGAAAGGGCATCGGTACTAGGAGCAAGGACGCTACTAGGGGCGCAAAAGCAAGCTGAGCATCTTGGGGATCCCTTCGTCCCAAAGTTGGGCTGGCTTCCAAACTTGGGAAGTTTGCTAAGGGAAGCCACATGGCCAGCCTGAACCCCTCAGCCGAACCAAGGGGAAGTCCGGTTGTGTCGAGCTATCTTTTGTGACCATACCCATGTTGAGAGTTCTACCCAAGTTTAACGCAAAAGGTCAAGGCTTAACGTCATGTTGGTCGTTTTCCAGTGCTTCACCCTCTCTTTGCCATGCCACTGGTGGCGGTGATCCACTTAGTCCGCTTCGCAGGTTCACACCTCTTCGCATCAGCTGATATTTGCGAAGACCTGCACCTCACCAAGAGCGGTGTCTTGTGTTGTATCAGCAGAAAAAGACCTGCAATCATGGCTATCCGCTATCAACAAAACTACTCAAAATTGATCGTTCGGGGGCCTAAAGAGAAAGCTGGTACCCTGACGTGATATCAGGGTTGAACCGTACACGTTTGCAACGTTCCGAACTATTTAAGGTAGGGATAGGTGGGGTATGTGGTGTGATTGCTTTATGGGGCGGCCCTGCAGCCTATGTATGACAGGAGTCATCCCTTTCATCGAACTCACTTTCATGTACAATCAAAAGACTTTAAATTCAAATGTGCAGTGATGAATTACTATGTAGACATGATTTTACATTATATTAACTTGCTGCTGCTTCAATCCTTGTCCTCTTGTTTGACGACCCAAGATATCCCAAATGCAGCTCAGAGGCAAATGCCAGCAACAGCTAAGACCACCCACAGGATGTTCAGCAATCTCACCAGCCGATTGATCGACACGCGGCGCATGCCCTCCAGAGGTTGCCAAGGAAAGAACTGAATCACGGGCCCATCCAATAACAGGCTGCAAAACACATGTCCTGAGCTCGTCCGTTTTGCTAAACTGGTACTCCTGCGTACACCGCTGGATCGCCAAAAGAGAAAAATACTAAAAAAAGTAACAAGGGCATCGCTACTAGGAGCAAGGACGCTACTAGGGCTCCTGGCCTTACTACAGGGAGCAAGAAGCTACTAGGAGCAAAGAGCATCGCTACTAGAAACGGCCAGCGTGGCATGTCTGCGGTCCACGAGGCCACCAAAGGCGACAAATAAAGGATAATCCAGCAATCGAGGGTTCTTCAAGGAACCTCGCCGAAGGACCGGAAGCGTAACAAGAAGCGACTAGTAACAAGGTGCCTTACTACTAGTAGCAAGGACGCTACTAGTTGCCTTACTACTAGTAACAAGGATGCAGATCCAAAGCACAAACTAGTTTATAGTTAGTGTGACCAAGTTCGCCAAGCTTTCGAGGAGGTGGTTGGCCCACATTGATGGCCCTTCCGGCCCTTCCAGCTAAAAGGAATCCTCCTTTGGTTCTCAGCTGGGCTTGCCACTAAATGAGATTCTAGTGACATGTGTATCTTGCTATCGTGAGATCCTTTAAACTTCAAACCAATAGGGGAGTACACTTCTGAAGGCTATCTGGACTTTCCAGACCTCCGGCACCTAGAAACAGTGATATCAGTCATAAGATTAGCAAGTACTCTTCCTCTAAGGTCATCTGAGAGATTGATGAGTTTCAGTGAAGAAATGATCGAAATCTTCACGCAGGAGAAACCAAGACCAAAGAGAGTCCAGGTTTTCTGATGCCACCTCCTTTTGCCTGCTTGTGCCCAGACACACTCCCCGCAGGGGCATGGCTGCGGTACTTTTTCCATGTACATTCCGCAACAGCAGGGTGCACAGCACCGTGAAGCAATTGCAAAGATCCAAATGCACAGAACGCCTTGACTGCAGCTTTGCACTCTAAGTTTGGCATCCAAAACAGATCATGGAAAAGACATTATGGTCTCGATTCAGACACTAGACATCACTAGACTATGTTGTGTTTTGACACGTGTGGCGTGGGTGTATTTTCCTACAGGAGACGGAGATGCGGCTATGGTTTTCTCAAGGGTTGTTAACCACAAACCAACCGTTGCAGAATAACTATATAGCTGTAAGTAGCCTCTCTTGACACTGCAAACCCATTACAGCACAAAAATCAGTCAGGGCTGAAGCCATGGGGTCCCTTTGCAGTGCTACAGATTGCCACAGTCCTGGACTGCACGCTGTGCGATTTGAAACTCTGGAGCTCTAGGACCTGGACTACGTTTCATTGAACTAGTGAGTGAAAGAACATAAAGTATCCAATTCGGAAACTTGGTGTATTCCGAGATCCAAACCTTGTGCTCTGTTGGCTTTGTTCACTTGTGCGAAGACGCCAAAAATGTCGTGGGAACAGCACGGCGTTGTGCGGTCGTACCGAGGCACCCAAGGAGGTGATCCCACCACCGATGCGCAGCACTTCAATCGCTGTACCAGTTTGATTGACCTCCCATTGGTCTGTGAGGAGCAAGTTCAGCTCAACAGATAGAACCACCTCGTGATAGTTTCAGAAACTGATGATGAGCTTTTGGGACTGGATGTGTCGTAAGATGGTGCTAGGTGCTGCGTCACAGTGACAACGTCCTACAGTAGCAATCTGACAGGGATGCATCCAGATCTCTAGGGTCGAGATGATAAGATTTCATGGGCACCCAACCCTGGACGCAAAATACATCAATCAAACTACACACTTCCCAAATACTGAGTTCCACTTCACGTCCAACGCTAGAGGTGTTACAGCAACTAATGCCTGCACCTATATACTGTTTCTGAGCTGTCTAGGTTATCTGGTGTAGCGCAGCGTTTGCCATGCTGTTCAGGTGGGGGCTATACATACCAAGCAAGATGATCACTGGATGTAAGCTGTTTTCCACATTTTTTTGTTGAGGGGGTGTTCATTCAAAGTGTGGCCGTCCAAAAGCAATCAAAGGCTATATACCTTCAAACACGACGTCTCCATGGCGGGCCCTTCTTCAAATCCTCATGTTGTATTCTACTTGGTTGCTTGGACAACAACGGCCAAAAAATCATGTGCGAATGGCTGCTCTTGCTATGTCTTGCGGAAGATTTGAACATGCCAATCCTTATCAGACAAGAGACAGTGAAGTACAAAGCAAACCAGGCACAAGCGCCAACATAGGCCAGCTGAATTGCAGAATTTGATCCGAGACTGTCACAACCTCACTCTCACGCCCGAACAAAAAACACGTCGAGGCAGCGACCGAGCCGTCCCTGAAAAAAAGAAGTCGAAGGTCGAAGATTAGAAAAGTCGCTTAAGCCACTTATATAAACCACTTCAGTATACTTGGGAACAAGAAGCTACTAGGGGCTCCTGGCCATACTACTAGGAGCAAGGACGCTACTAGGGGCTCCTGGCCTTACTACTAGGAGCAAGGACGCTACTAGGGACTCCTGCCTTACTACTAGGAGCAAGGACGCTAAAGTCACAAAAAGTTCACTTAACTTGCTTGGAGGCCATCGCTACTAGGTTGGAGGCCATCGCTAGTTAGAGGCCATTGCTAGTAGGTCTTCACTTCACTTCACTTCACCACTTTCGGCAGAACCCCAGCTTCAGAGAATGATTCATCCTCTCGAGTCACGTGGGTGATCCAAAACTGGTGCCTCAACCCGGTAGAACTAGGTTGCAGTTGCCAAACGATTGGCTTCTAGAGGAAATCCATCTTCTGGGGTTGCGGTGGTCTCGAATGCCACGACAGTTGCAAGGCCGCCACTTTCAAGACTCAAGATGCCCATTGCTCAAAAATGTACGCAGCACGTGTGCTCTTTAAGAAAGTAATTCAACAAGCCCTGGAGCAAGCCGAGGAGCATTGGGGTGAGCACATCCCACTGCCCAAGCAGCCGCGCTTGTGCCGAAACTGGACGTATCAGAGGAAAACACAAAGGTGAATCCGACCTTCCACCTGTCCACAAGCCCCTAGGCCCCACAGGTAGGGCCTTTAGTTTTGCTCGTTCCTCTTTTGCAAAACACGTGGAAGAACAGAGCTTTGAACATGTGTGTGTATATACATACACATGTACATACAGTATATATATATATGTCGCACTCTTTTCAGGAAGTGTCCACTGAATCCACATCCACGTCAACCACTCCACACTGGTCAGCACTTACTTGCTGGACCCAGCTGACAGTTCCAAAATACAGAGTTCCTGGCTCATCAGCCCCAAGCTGATCTCACACATGGCTACTAGCCGTCAACCAACTGTAAATTATCCCACATTGGTACTAACAGTATTCAGCCTGTCCAGTGCAATCCATCTGAACATCACACTCTGAGCTTGTTGCCCCAATCCTCCTCCTCATCAATGAAAGCCGTTATATTTTTGGTCTTGCCTTTGTCTGCCACCTATCCATCAAGGCACTTTGACAAGCTGGGCCTCCCGCTGGTCTTCATGAAGACACTAGGAATTAGAAAGTTCATACATGTAGAGACTGCAAAGATCATTGCTTCTAGGTTGGAGGCCATGGCTATTGGGTTGGAGGCCGTCGCTATCAGGTTGGAGAACAGAGCGACCTTTAAAAGAATTACTTTTTCGGAGTACTTTGATCATTTAGCATTTGGCACCTGGAAGGTCTTCTTCTCGGTGTTCCAACCACGACTCCAACCTGTCGGTCTGGAGATGACACGATACACGGCCAATTGATGTTGATAGAAGGCGAAGCAAGTTGGACCGGCAACCCTCTTCATGTGTTTGTTGAGACGGGTGAGCGTGTGCAGTTTCTCGAATTTATGCCAGTGCAATTGAATTAAAGAACGAACAAGCGGCCTCGCTTTGCAAACTCGCTGTCCTCTTCGCACCGATATCCTGAATAGTAGCTTCTTGCTACTAGTATATAGCAAGGTGCCTTATTCCTTACTAGTAGTAACAAGATACTAGTAGCTCCTGGCATTACTACTAGTAGCAAGAAGCTACTAGGAATAAAAAGGCCCCTTGCTACTAGTAGATTCGAGAAATGCTGGCGCATTTGGCTTCCAAGGCTCGGTGCCTGGCAATCCATGCTGGCCACATGAACATGATATGCTCAAATGACCAAATCCTTGATCTAAATGCTTTCCGGCAATGTCATCTACCAACACGAACAGGCTTTTCACATCGTTGCCGCTGAAATGATAGTAAGCTCATTGGTATGTCCAGGTCATGCTATGCTCTTGCATCGCAAGCGCATGTTGTCGTGGGCTCATGGGCGTGCCGCAAATATGGCCACGCTTCATGCACTACTAGGAACAAGAAGCTACTAGGGGCTCCTGGCCTTAGATCACTGATGGTCCAAGAGTTGTCCGATCTTCCCACTTACAACTATATAAGTAAAACAAGAAGAAGCTCTACCCCAAACCGTGCAAATGACTGTCATGCCACTTGAACCAAGCAATTTGCATATATTTTTATTACGCCCGGGAAAAAATAACATGGAACCTGAAAACCACTGGATTGTAGTGTAGAGGAAAATAGTCCTCCAAAGGTCCATTTTCAGGTTCCATGTTGAATTTCCCAGGTACCATTGTCCATGTTTCTGAATAGGCTTTCTAAATCGCAGCCTGTGGACAACTGTTCTGGTCCCAGAAGCCGTAGGATAGCAATTCTTCTCCGAAATCACAAACTCTCAGTAGTCTCTCCACTTCCACAAACCCCAGATCCATCAAGCTCCTGTCATCTGAACAACGTCTTCCAACCAGAATTGCTGCACCTCAGGGCACCGACCGTACACTCTTCAAACCAGAAATGACTTCATCACCAATTCATCACCCCAAAGCAACCTAATTACCAAGTCACAAGTGGTTTCATTGCGACATATTGCGACCAGCGCCATCACCAAGTCCGCACACGTCTCTCTTGGACTCGATGACATTGGACACCAAAAACCGTGGATTGAGAAACCCAGCGAATGTGATTATCTACTCCCTCCGAACTGGAACCATCTCTACATATCTCTACGATCTACATCTATCTACCGCCTGAGTCCTGTTGCATGCTGGACTTCCCACAACACAAACCAAACTCCTTTGATTCCAAGTGAGCGGGCTCGCAGTCCTGTTTCACCAAGCAAACTTGCTATGATTTCCTGTTTCAAACACGTAGATTTGGGGCCATCGCTATGAGGTTGGAGGCCGCTTGCTTGTTCAAACACCCTGTTGACACTAGGGCTCCAACTGGGAAGGTGCGCCCAGGGATGCTCAGGACAGGCACTGAGCTGGGGCCTTGCTGGAGATCTCGATACATGCTACTCAAGTGAATGGAAAATGCAAGTTCTTCAGGCCATAATCTTCCGTCTTCACCCCCTCTTGTTGTTGTCAACGCGTTTTCACGCAGCCTGCGCCGTTCCTTTAGCCGAGAAACTTCCGAAGTATCGCACGAGCTTGTCGGTTTCCATGGTTGCCTTGGAAGCTTGGCCGCCTTTTTGCAGCGGCGTTGGCTCGACGTTTTCATCGCTTCGTGTTAGATGTGGCCAAATATGATTGAAAGATGGTGATAGGGGCTGTGGCCAGTGCAGAGAATGCTTCTGCCCAATGCACCAGTTGTTACAGGTGCTCGTCTAAATATGATAAATGATCATAAATGTGAGATGTGGCATGGCTGAACAGCCTCCCAAGAAATGTGTCGAGGCACTCGGTTTCCTGTTTATGGGACCGACAAAGGACAACGAGCTGAAAGAGCAAGTGAACATCAGGTCTATGGCAGCAATCTATGCAGGGGATGTCCAGGAACTTCGTCACCAACAACAAGGATGCAAAGCATTGTAGTGTACAGTGTATCATATACTCCAGCTTCAAACCACTGCAATGACGATGAGGTATGACCCTTGCAACTCACCAGCCGTTCACAATCGGATCAGAGTTTAGGACGCTGGACTCAAGGGTTCAGTCCAAGAACCTCAGCAAGGTGTTTACCTGTTTACTGACAAAGAAACAACACGGATGCTGGCGGATGTACTTCTGCTGAACATGAGTTTGGTTCTTTGGACACCAGTTAAAGGATCAACTGACTGCTCGCAGGTTCCACAGCAATAAATCACCGGCACGCCGGGCACGCAGATCACCTCGAAACACCTTCCTCGCACTGCCAAGCCACACTCATCAAGACCAATCGCAGATCTGGACGAGTCGTCCGGATCTGCCCTTAGTCGGACGGATCCATTTTATTTGGAAGATGTTCCAAGCAGATTTCCGTCTAACAACAGCAAAATCACCTCAGCCCGCTGCGGAGAAGGAGCAGGAGCAAGTCGCAGTCGGCACTCCGCCTGTAGCGAAAGAAGACTTCCAAGAACGATGCCTTTCAGAGGAATGCACACAGCACCAACAGCTCATGACTATGTGACCTTGACTATGGAATCTCGTGGTTGCTGATCCTCAGAACCTGCCTTCGAGGCAACTGGTTTTGCTTCTGCCTTGAGCCTGAGGGCAAGACTCGTGGATCTCATCGATGAAAATATGGGTCACCTGCCAAGCAATGGAACAACAACAAAACAAACTCTGATCCAAGGGTCAATGTATGTCAATGTTATTGAGATCAACGTAGGGCCTTGGGGGCAGCCAATTGAAACCATCCTATGCTGAAGGGAAGGCGTTCAGTTCACTGCTCTGTTTCACTTGAGAAGTTCCTTCTTCATGTGGGACCCTGGGTCTCTTCTCCTTTGGAGTGCTTTTGTGATCCGGCCTTCGACAGGGCTCCGAGGCCCTGTTGCATCTGCTTCAGCAAAACGCCCACCTTAGGCATGAAACCCCTTTCTAAACCGCTGAGTGAATCTCAAACGCCACAGTCCACTCAGGTTTACAATGTTTACAAGGTGCCTCATCATAAATCCATATAACATCATATAACCACCACCTCTCATTGTCATTGATGTGAATCTTTAGCTGTATCTTCAAGGGTTCAATCCCTTCAAGCCGTGGCTCCTCTTTGGCGCCCAACAGCTTTCTATTTCTAGGACGGGAATTCCATCAGAATCCGGTGAGGATTTGGTACTCCTCCGCTTGACTTTCACAGAGACCGCTCACCGCTCCAGGTGCCCGCTCCGTACAGAAGAGAAGCCGTGTGGAGCTCGAGACCTGGACGCATCGGACTGGAGCGAGTGTGCAATTGCTCGCTCCAGTGGTGTGCACCCCGGTGCGGTGAGCCGGTGCTACATTTTCTCAGCTTTTTCTTTTGGACTATGTTGATGAATTTAACAAATGGATCTACTTGCAAACTGGGTTTAGCTGTTCGCTTGCAAAACTTCTTCATCTGTTGGAGCTGGCGAAAGACCGGACCTGTGCTATGCTTGTTCAGCCCGGTTCAACACAAGTCGTAGTTCCACAGTTCCACCACTGAAGAAGAGAACATGAGGGACCTAGAAACCGCAAACTACAGTAAGTAGGTAATCGATTTTAATCAATTCAAACCATTCTCCCCCACGAATTCCCATCCACTTCTCACCACTGCAGCCTTCTTCTCCAAACGGATCCTCACACAAGTTGCTCAAAGCTACAGCAAGCTCAGATAATTACATCTGAAACAGTTCTGGAGCCTTCTTATGTATCCAGCTAGTGAGTGGATAAGCTTAGCCGTGAAGCGCACAATGAGCAAATCTTCGGGATACTATTTGTCAGGCCAACACCTTCCAAGGACGCTCACTCAAAATCATAAGCTCAACAAAAAAGCGCATGCACGTGGACCACTCATGTGGTTGGGCAACCTGCTTTGCGCCCATGGTGAAACAACAAAAACTAAAAAAACATCGAGGGTCAATCACCAAGGTTCGACCAAACGCACTGCTCCATGTGCTTCTGTTGAGCCGAGACTCTGATAGCCCACAAGTGAATCTCTGGATCCGGGCCCTCCAGAAGGATCCTGAGCGGGTGAACCCACCTATGCGGTGAGACCATCGATGAAACTTGCGAGCGAAAAGGCGACGGAGGATAGGACGCTCTTGACAATCTTGACAGCAGGCGACAGTACGAAGACATGAAAACAATCTCACTACTCACATCTACTCACTACCAGTCCGTTTTGCCGCGGCGAGATGAGCTATTGGCGTGGTCATTTAGAACCATTGGCGTGCCCTTCCGGGGCAATCTGAATCAAAGGCGCCCAGCCGTCGGTGAGGCGAATCTCTCAGAATAGGTCCGAACAGAATAGGTTCGATGTCAAAGAGAACTCAAGAAAAAGGCTTGCCAAGGGATTGGCTCGATATCTTTGTCCTTGTCGTGTACCACAAGCCATCATCAGATATGGAATCTATTGCAGAAATCTCCGAGCAGCCTCAAGACGTACTGGGACATGTTGCAAGTGAATTTTGACAAATCAACGTGCACATTGGAAACGGGCCCCCCGTGAATGCTGTAGCTACGGAAGGGCATCTAATTGCCGATCTCTCAGTCTTCTTCTAGTCTTCATATCGCAATCCCTTGGCAGCATCTTTCAGCACCGCAGCAACCTGCTCTCGCGTCAATCCTTGCAATTCGGGCGCAATCTGCCCAGCTGTGTGGAAGGCCTAGACCTGCTGGACCTGGGTTTGGGAGCACACAATTGGAGCCTGTGCTTGTGGCGCTGGAGATGGCATCACCGGCCAAATCCACTCCTGGTAGGGTGCTCTCTCAGATCAAAAGCATGTGTTTGGACTCCCACCGAGCTGAAAAGCACTAGGGGCTCCTGGCCTTACTAGGAGCAAGGAACTAGGAGCAAAGGGCATCGCTACTAGGAACAAGGACGCTACTAGTATCACCTGGGGCTCTAGCCATGATCCACCAACTAGTGGTCTGTGCAACTATAGCGTTAAAACACACAGGCAATGACCTTGAAGCAAATGTATCCACGGTAATTTCCATTGTTGAGTACCTGTTTGAGACTGCGATACTCATTTGATCACATTTGGAACTACCTTGCCTGGTATTGCATAGGCCATGTCCACATATAGGAATCCTGCGATGGCTGCATGTAGCCTTCACATCCCCATTGATTTCGCATCGCCATCTGCTCTGGAGGAGTCTGGATTTGGGGTGCATCCTGGGGCACTTGTGATCCACGCAAATGCTGGCGGATCTGCGCTGCTGCCTCAAAAGCCTGCTCACCTCGCTCTTGGTAATGCCGCAAAGCATTTGAGCCCTTTTGCCAATCGACACGCCTCTCTTGACGAGGCCGTTGCCAGTCTCGAACCTGACCTTGGCGACGGCCATAGTCCTGACCTTTGGCAAAGCGTCTCTGACCAAATGGAGCTTTCACATCCTTTGCCTTGCCCATGTTCTTGCCACGCTTCGGGTCAGCAAAGGCCTCCATAGTCATCACGGTGGGCATTGCAAAGCCAAGCAAAGCCAAGATGAGCACACTACAAACCAAGCTGCTTGAGCCAGTGGAACGCTCTCACCACAAACCAGCCAATCGACTCTGCGAAGCTAAATCTGCCGTGATCTTGAGTTCCCAAGCTCTGCAAAACATGTTGCATTATCCCGTGATTTTCTGCAAACCCCAACAGCAACACTAGGACATGGCTCAACAAGAAGTCACACACGATACATTGGAAGAGAATTGAAGAGATGATAATTGTTGCAGAGATGGTAATGGGCATGTCAAGTACATTGGCATTCTTTACGCAAGGTACTTGTTGGGAACCAAGCACCGCATCGTCCAATCGCATCGAAGGAACGCCCATCTCTTGGGAGACACGCTTCGCCACGGAGACCTCAGCGAAGCGCAAGAAGCGAAGCGACAGAAGCGAAGCGAAACGACCAAAGGAGTCCAAAATGCGTCATAGGCAATGGCCTCCCCTCAAGAGCGATGGCCTCCAACCTAATAGGAATGGCATCCAACCTAATAGGATCACATAATTGCGGGAACATCTCCAAACACATCCGCCTGCTGATCCCTGAAAGAGATAGATCGTGCCGCTTGATGGATCCTGATGTGGTATTTTCTGGAGGACTCAAAAGTAAAAGCACGGACCTCAGGCAGTTCCTCGTGTCAGGCCGTGAGGCCACTTGATAAGAGTGTCTCGGAGAAACCCCGCAAGGATGGATATGAAGATCCTTGTCTAGTGAAGCCAACTGGCATGCTGTGGGCTTTGGCTTAGCCATAATCCAGATATGAGTGAACAAGAAAGCAAAAGAATCAAATCTGACTCAGATCTCACAGGTGCAGGACAAATGGTTAGAATCCCGGTGGCAGCTTTGTCATCAGCAGTCCTTTCAAAATCGAAGAGCGACTCCGCGATTTATGGTCTCCAGCAAAAGCCACGAGATTTCACCAACCCCATTGTGGAGTCGTCTACTGCTAGCATCGGCCCGATTGCCGAGCTCTCATGCAGATCAGGGTGTCGCCGTCGGCTTGCAGCCTGCGCTTCAAAGGAAAAAACAGGTTTTGTATTTTTTCTTTAGACCTGTTTTGATTTAGACGCGTTCTTTGGAAGACCTGTAATGTTTCTTGAGACGGTTTCTCTTTTGACTTTTTTCAGAACCAAGTGCCTTTGTCTTTGGACCCTTTCCCTGGACATGTCTTTTTCTTTAGACCTCATTTACTTAGACATTGTGACAGTGTGTCTTTTCTTCAGACTTGTGGTTTGTCTTTGTTAGACGTGTTGTTTACCTGTTCTTAATTTTTTTTGGACCTTTTGGTCTTTAGACATCTTTTGACATGTTTCCTATGTTTCCTTTTCTAAGGGTCTATGCATCAAAAGAGCCTGCTTGTAGATCTTGCAGGGGTTTCAGACCGATGCAAGTCGATCTACTTGTCCTCCTACGACTTATGACTTGTGACACTTATGAGCGATGTTTGGTGGGGATCCACCGCTTGACTCGTCCCCTCAACTATTCAATCAACCTCTCAACCGTCCGTGGCACCTTCCTGCAGGGCACCGGTCACCAGGGGCCAGTGACAGCCAAACGAAGCCATGGATGCGCTTCATAGCTCCTGGCAAAGACAGCAGAATTCACCAGGTGGTCACACAGCAAATCACATCTTTCTGCATCTTGAGCTGCATTGATAAAACATAATCTGTTGCCTCTACATGTGGTGGTGGAAAGTCCTAACTCCATCCATGTTGAGCCCTGTGACAAAATGATGACAGTCCTGTAATTATCAGCTTCAAGGTTGGAGGCCATCGCTTGTAGGTTGGAGACCATCGCTATTAGGTTGGAGGCCATCGCTAATTATGTATTAGGTCCTTCAGCTTCCCAAAGATGTTCAGCACTCCACGCTCGCCATCGCCCAGGGACATAGCTCATGCACCACCCGTCTCACACACGTCCTTGGAAGTGCTGCATCTTGTCCCTCCCGCCATTCGTCTCCGAAAGTTGGATTCAACGAGAGTCGAGCATTTGGACGAGATCGAAAATGGAAAGTGACATGTGGTTTGAAGACTTGACACGACGAAGTGACTTTAGAGGAAGTCTGTGGCACTTGCAAGCCCCGTTTTCCACTTCCACCTCTTCCACAGCAAAAGAGACCTTGGACATGCACCAAATTCTGAGAGCGACCTCATGGCTGGTTGCAGCATGAACCCTGATCCAATGAAAGCCACAAGTTGGGCGAGGAGCATCTCCCTCCGTACACAAGTGTAGGCACGTGTCTAGAGGTAGACCAGGTAGGCAAAATCTTGAACATCCTTGAACCTTCATAAGAATGTCCGCACCTCCCTGCACCTCCCTGTCATCCAGGTATCTCAGCAGCCAGATCTGTTCCTGACGACACCAAGAGGTGCTTACCCGCAGCGCTGCCTCCGGTCTCAGAGCGGTCGTCTCCTGGGGCCCGTAGCCTCAGCAATTTCTCAAATGCATACAAGGCACTGGTTGGGTCTGATCAAGATGCCCCATGATATTCAATTTGCTGTGTCCAAGTATTTACATATGTAATTATATGAAGCTATCTAAACCTCATGACAGTGTCATGCGCAAGGTCCACAGCCGCCTCGGCCTCCCTGCTCACCACCATGGACCCGACGGTCAACTCCGTTGCTGCACGTTCCTTCACGGCCACTCTCAGCTCTGCTGGCCACACCTGCAAGTAGCTACTAGTAGCAGCGTCCTTGCTCCTAGTAGCGTCCTTGTTTCTAGTAGTAAGGCCAGGAGCCCCTAGTAGCGTCCTTGCCCCTGGTGGCGGCTGTCGAGGATTCAAGACGGAAAGTGTCTAAAGTCACGGTTGAAAACAAACCGCTGGGCAGAATCGTTTTCCAAAGCTGATGGGCCCAAAGCCAACTTGTGGGTGGTGCCCGCAACCCCAGCATCTGATCATGCTTACACCACCCTGCAGCTTCCCTACCCTTTGATTGATCCAAAGTCATCAGTTGAGAAGTATGTGCTCAGCAAGTCATGTTGAACATCCCAAAGGGTTCATTGAATGCCATTTGGTTGCAATCTCCGCCACAGAATCCTCAGACATTCCAACCGACCCACTCACAACTTACCTCGTCATTTAGCCACAGAATGCTGGGCATGTTGGGCGTCTGAAACCTGCGGCAGTTCAGCCGGCCCAACGTTGGGACGATGCACAAACAATCATGATGGAAGTCCACACATGAATGGCATCTTGTCCAGATGAAATTCATCATTGGCAAAGGTATTGCAGCTACAACAAGGTTGCCATGCAGATTTGGAGACGGGCCTGCTGAGATTCCCCTGCCTCAACCTGTGGTGGGTTCAGCATGAAACCTGATTGTAGTTTGGTGATTGTTGCTGTCACTGTGCCTCCCCCAAAGAATGTCATGCAGCAACAAGCCCTTGGCCAAGAGCTGTGTAAGATTATATAATATATCTTTGTACAATTGTTTAGTGCGGTGACAAACCTGACCCTAATGGCCCAAGCACCTCGAAATCAAGGGCGCTTCTGAGGCATCTCCCACCTGGTCATGTAAGGCACAAATCATGTCAAATTTTGAACTATGCAAGTTGAAATTTGGCTTCAAATTTCTGGAGAGCTTCATCCAAACTTGCCTTGAACTCCACAGGGACCTGCAATGGTGCAGAGCAAACGTACTCCTGGGCAGTCTGCACCATGCTCTGCTTCAACAGATCATAGCCTGCAAAATGGAAAGGCTCTGGGCCTCAACAGGTTCGTGCCCTTTTGTGAAGCAAGGCTCTTTGGGCATCAAGAGCTTCGTGTAAGAACCGCCTCAAACGCGCACCTTTTTTAACTCCGACTGGGAAGCTTATCCAGGGGGATTCTCCCACCAAAAGGCTGTCTCCAGGCGGTAGGTTGCAACCTGTTTTTCGGATGTTCCCTGTTCCTGGTTTTTTCTGGAAGTTTACGGACCAAGGAGGTCTCAGGGAAGACCTCTTGTCCACCTTCAGGTTGCTTTACTGCTGCTTATTTCAGGGAGAAGAGTCCACGATATCCATATACTCCTCCGTGTTGCTTGAACTTTTACATGACTAGTCATGAGTAAATGCATGAAAGCCTTCAGTGCACAGTCCTGCTCTGGGCTACGAAGAGAGGACCACAAATGGCAACGTTGTTGTTGTTGTTGTTGTTGCTGCCCTTCAAAGCGGGTCGATGTGATATAGTATATATATATATATTACTTATTTATAGCACATTCCACCAGTGCCAACCGACTGATCTGCTCTATTGAGTTTCACATGTGAGGTGGGGTATCTAGTTTCTACCCCCGTGAATCAACGTGAAACCAAGAACAACTGTGCAAAAGCAAACGGGAAAGGAAGTTGGTGCACTGAGAAGGAACGACTGAAATGTCGTTGGTTCTTTGGAAGCCCAATTCTACCTCAAAGCTGGGGTGGGGGGCCTCAATGCCTCCCACCAATCCAGATTTGAGCCGATCTAGAATCAACGGTTTTAACTAGATGCACACGTGGTACATGTTGCAAAGAATGCTTTCCAATGTTTTACTCCTTGCCCCAACACTCATGGCTGCCCAGGTACCCCAAACATCAACCGCTATGTGCTTCTCTCAAGGCTGCAGCCCGCCTGTGCATGGAATGCCCACTGCTGCAAAGAAAAGGCAGGTGTATCCTGCAGATAGGCTGGGTACTTCGGTGTTCCTCCAATTGTCTCCCGAGATGTTCTATGTTCATCTATGTTCATCTGGTGCGTTGTGGGTGCCATTGCCCGACCATCCAAAGATCAACAATCAATCCTTGCTCTTCAGCACACCCTCACAAGACGAATCAAGTCAGGATCCATCCGCACACACCACAAGCAAAGCACATCAAGGGAAGTCCCATGAAGTCCCACTTATGCAAGCAGCAGCATCCATGCACGTCTGAATCCATCAAAGCTATTTCGCTCCGCAGACCTATGGAAAGTGTCTCCGACGCAACATGGCAATGCTCTTTTCTCCGACGTCGACGCCTAAGGAGCTTCCCATGATCACCACAGCTGGAGACTTCTCAACGACCTTCACCATCTCAGGGTGGTCGATCACCGCCTGACCGATCTTTGGATCATGTACGAGACGAAGCTGGGTTTGACGGCCGTCCTCTTGTTGTCCAACCATTTGGCCAAAAGCGCCTTTGGCAGGAACTCAGCTCAAACCTTTTCAACCATCAGAACCTAAACAACCCAGTACCATCCCAAATCCATCCTAAATCCCCTTCATCTGGCAAAAAAACACCATTGCAGAATCCATCGTCTTCAGGCCGATTTGCCGAAACCTTCCAGGACTTGAAGAAGGTCTCCCCGTAGGATGCCGAGGTGACGTCCGGGCCAAAGGACTGGACGGTCTCAACCTATTGATATGACGTGGAAATGTTGTTTTTTGTTAGCCCGCTCCCCCCCCCGGCGCCTACTTAATTAAGTAGTAGAGACTACCTATTTGTATAATTAAGCAAGGAACTGAGGTAGCTACTAGCTAACTTGTAAGCTACTACATACTGGACTCTGGATGGCTCACGCTTCTTCAAGAAAGCTCCCGCCACCCTAAAGGTGGCGGGGGGAAGCTTCGTTGAAGAAGCGCTCGCACTAGTGATTTGGTTCCTAGGTATTGAGGAAACCTAACTCTCACAATCTTGCTCACGCAAGTCGATTCCACATCAATGACACCGAAAAGAACTTGGGGCGTTCTGGAATAATAGCTTTCCATTGAGTAGCTGTCCTTGTCAGAAATACCATCACCAGGAATCCAGGAGTATCAATCTTGTACAAATAATGGTTGTATAACGTACGGCACTATCTATAACTTGCTTGGGTGCTCTGAAATATTTGTTATCTGCATGGCCGAGGCACGGCCCAAGTCATCAGCCACGAAGGGCTGGCCACCAATCTCCGCAGCTGGCCAAGGGCAGGAGCCAAGTCTGAAGCGAAGGCCTCACAGTCCGGTCAACTCATATGCTTCGCGGCTTCCAGATTCCAGATTGAGTGCAATTGAAAACTTGAAGCTTGTGGAGAGAGGTCCAACACTAAGACAAACGAGCGGGAAAACTAATCAGAACACATCTAGACTGGCCAAACTCTGGTGACTCTGGAAACACAAGGCTTGTCAGATTCCCCGGACACGTCAGTTGTCTTGCACTCTTGCCCTGCCTCAAAAGCGGCTGCCTCGTCCTTAAGTTCTGCTTCATAGATGCGCCTCGAATGGCTGCGAAGCATCATCAAACTGAAGCATGCTCTGGAGTCACCCAAGAACAAAAGGGAACGCAAAGCTATGCAAAGCCTACCTTATACCTCCATTCAGGCTCCCATCATTATGGAGCCTTCAAGGTATCTGTTGTGGACAGGTCGACCCGATGTTGCGGACGCTAAAATAATCAAAACAGAAACCTGACAAAGTCTATCCTTACTCACCCCTTGCTACTATTTCAACGCCAAGTCCAGTCCACACCAGTCCACACAAGGCGGACACACTTGAAAGCATTGAGAACGCCAAGAGTAAACTGTTCGGGAAACTATGCCAAGAATAGACATTGGCAGAAAAGTGGTACCAGCAAAGCTCGCACTACCACAGACATCTAGCAGCAACACCCTGCAACGAGGGCACCTCTTCCTATACTGGAAGTAAGAGCCCCACTAGATCTCCCAATAGTTCTCGTTATCTTGGCGTAATCTTTCCAGATCCACAGGTGTTCCATCCCGAACCACACTGGCAAGCCTGTAGATGACGGTGTTGTTTCCTGTACTTGTCTCGCATGTATGTGGAAAATCCCTTGTGAACTGCTTGCAGGACCCACTACAGAATAAGAAATTCATTGCTTCAGCAGGCACTATTAACCCCTCATGGGTTGCCAGTACCGTGTTAAAAAACACCTTTCGATGAGAGCCCCAGCATACAACTTAAATGCAGGTCCCTTTCCAACCAACAAAGCTAGCTCATGTTTGAGAAAAAAAGATGACTTTCCGCAGAGCATTCCTCCCAAGGCAGGGTAGCAATACCTCCAAAAGAGGGACGACATTGTCTTTTGCCTGAAATAATGATGTAAAACAATATCGGTGATGACAACCTCTCTGCAGAACATGTGTCTGCAAATCGGAACAAAGTTTGTTTCAACTCGAGGGCTCTCCAAAGCAGAAGCAGATGAAAACATGACTCTTGAAGATCTTGACCTCTCAGTCGTGCCCCAGCGGTAAGGTTTACAGCATTAAGTATTCTGCCCTAGGTTCGGTTCGTAGATCATTGCCAGCCGCCGTGGGGAGAGGCCCAACCTCGCAGTGCTATGAGTGACCAGGGCTTCGAATTGCTCTCGGATGGGGAAATGTAAAAGGACCCCTCTGAGTTTGCATGTTACGGCGTGAAAATCAAGCACTGTGGTAGGAAGACTTGATTGATTAAAGCTTCTCGCGTCAAGAACGTCCTTCAAGGTTGGCAGGCCTTAAGCCAAGCAAGCGTCCAAGCATCCAACTTGCATAGCCACATAGCTACAGTCTAAGGATTAAACATTAGGAGTGCAAAGGGAGTGTTGATGAGGAGCTGTCTCCAGTGTCCACACCTGAATTTGGTCAAGTCACTCTTTGGCCAATTCAATCGCCCCGTTCAAACTCTGGCGAGCGGCTTCCAAATCCCCTGCAGGGGCAAGATCAGCATCCATCTTCCAACACAACGAGCCGTCGTGCAAGTACACAACCAATCATGCTACGCTCATACCGAGTTCCAGGTATGGGTGAATCTTTCGTGAAGCTGAAGGCCTCAAACCTGCCTGTCGACTTCTGCAAGCACCGTGTGCTCCTGCCTTCGTGCGCTTCGAGTAGTCCGAGATTCCACCTGATGATGTGTACACGATACGTCGAAGTGCAAAAAACACTTGAGTGCATTCGAGCACGAGCCCCACCTCGCACCCAGGTCATTACCCCGCTGGCGGAGGACCCGCTGAAGCAAGGGCTTTGCCTCTGCTGTGGCACCGCGCTTGGCCAAAAGTAGCGCCTCCGAGGAGACACGAGTTGTCCAGGTTTTCACAGGTGGTTGGTTTGAGTTGGCACTTGCATACATATAGATATTTCATGAAAAATCACGCAACTGCGTTTCTGCAAAAGGGAGCAAGTTACAACTGAGTGGGCTGCTTTTCATGGCACCCCGCAAAACAATTTGCCCAATAGGACACAGCGGTGTGGAAGAGCCAAAACAAGAACACGTTTATATTTATATATAGTTCTTTCAGGGCGCTAGGTCGGAGGCCATCGCTAAGAGGTTGGAGGCCATCGCTCTTAGGTTGGAGGCCATCACTCTTAGGTTCGAGCCCGTTCCTATTCTTTCCGGGCGCTGAGCGATGCTTCCCCGCCTGCCGCATGGCCGCCTCCACGTCTCCGCCTTCTGCGGCGCGTCGGAAGCATCGCTCAGCATCAGCGTAGCGCTGCTGGCGCTGATGATCGCAGCCCAGGGTGAACCACACCTGCAAAGCGGAGCAAAAGCTGTGCAGAGATAAGATTCGTTTCAAGGGTATCTAAGGCTTATGAGACACCCACGCTTTCCGCTTGCACTTGCAGATCTATGTTACATATGTTTTATATTCCTGTACCTCAAAGCAGGGATCGCATGTGAGAGAGTGCAGCTGTCAAACATTATGTATCCGGGAGCTACCTTGCGTGGTCAGTCAATCTGGCACCAGATCTGTAGCGCAGCGCCTGGCTCTGCTTCTGAGCGCTCACACCTGACAAGCTTTGAAATATATACTTCTGCAACCCGAAGATTTATCAAGCATGGTCGACGGTGATATTCTTGCAAAATGCTCCCGTGTGCTTTTCTTCCCGCAGAATCTTTGCTGATGGCCCGATGGCGTACTTGAGTCTGAAGGGCTTAAAAAAGAGACTATATGCCTGGCTTTGCTGCTGGCCAGAACCATACTTTGCTGCCAAGTTCAGCGAAGCCACCCGTCTCCGGTATGTGTACAAAGCAGGAACAGACCTGCTTAAAGAAAAGCAAGTCTGTCTCAAACAAGTTCCTTCTCTTGATATCCAGCTGTATCGAGACAGGCGGGCAACCCCCACAAGCAGAAAATGCTCGGAACGGGACGCTCAACCTTTCTCAATCAGCTCTTCATTGCGGCACTACCTTGCGCCTTGCCGCTCGCCTGGAGCTGACTGGTGGACGATGTCGAATCACTACAAGCCTGACTGCGACTGGCTCAGACAGCAGCAATGGGGTGGGGCCAAGTGTGACTTGGGTACGTACACCTGGCCCGCAGTTTTTCCACATTGTCGGCTGACGATTCTGACCGAAGAGTCTCAGCTCGAACTGTTGATGTCGACCCCATGGTCTACGCCTACGCTGCTTGATCCTTCACTTGAGCCACATGCTCCTCCAACTGAATAGAAGTCTTCAAAGTCTGCATCTGATTTGCAAGCTAGTAAAATCATATGATATTAGAACTTTGAGACATAAGGACATGGAGGTCTGTCTAGTATCAGTTTGATCTCCTTACTCCTTTCCACAAGGATATTAACCTGATTTTCCTGCATACCTATGTTTGCCTCAGAGGCACTCTTCAAGCCTTGAGGGCCTTGAGAGCCTTCAACTCCCCCGCTAGACTGAGAGGCCTTGATTTGTCAGCTCCGCCACCAAAACGTCTTTGGTTTCTTGCCAAAGGCCGTTGGCCTCAAAGGAGCGGACGAGAGCGGACGGCACATGGGTCCAGTGGAGTTGTTTCTTCGCCCCTGAATTAAGTAGGCGCCTACTTAGGTAAGTAAGGGATTAAGCTCCCTACTAAGATGCTACTACCTACCGGACGAAGAAGCGCTCGCACTTTTCATTTGGTTCCTAGATTTTTAGGGTAACAAATCTTAACATCATGTTCTTTGGTTTTGCCTGCAAACACGTCTGAGACCTCAAGTTGGGTACGAGCCGCCGGGAATCCTGGGCTCTTGCTACTGACTTGAACAGGACAACTGATAACTGAAGACTTTGGCCAATACAGGATCGTGTGTTCAGGAATAGAGTCGAGGCAGTTCTTCTGTTGCGCGTCAAGGGCCCTGTGTTATCCAGAAGTGTCCAGACATGCCTTCAAGAGGCCCATTGGGCTGGCCTTGTGCATTGCGGAGTAGTGTGTGAAACTATAACTACATAAAGCCATCCGAAAGTAAATACATGGCCAAGGCCCCGCACCACAGAGGCCAAGCTCCCCAGGAACACCAAGTCATGCGGCACCAAACACGCACAAATGACATCGGCTGGGTGGAGATCCATGACAGCTTTAGAGTCTGAGATCCAGCTTCCACGAGAAACCTACATGTGAAATTCCAAACAATCCCCGAGTCCACACTACACTTGTGCTCCCGTCGTGTAGCTTGGAGCGCAAGTTGATCGCAAATTGCCAGGCTTCCTAACTAAGGCCGCAGCTGTTAGAAGGAAACCTCACCGCTGTTGCTGCTCTGTCAACTCGTGTTCTTTCCAGGGCATGAAACTTACACTGTTCCAAAGAAATAGTCGCCAGAAAGCATCCCGCAAAAACATGTCCATCTAAAGAATCTGCCGTGCACATGCGAAATTAAGCACCCCTTGGGAAGACCCACGTGGCAATATAGAACAATACTGAGAAAATCCTTGTTTGTGATTGGATCTTCACCAGCACCATGCCCTCTCCAGACAGTGAATCCAAAGTCCCTCCCTGTGTCAGTAAACTTAGTGAAATCAACATTCTCATGTCTTACCCCCCCTTCAACTCAAACTCTCCCCTTTCATGGCCTCGGTGCGAGAGCGATCGCCGCTTGCCCATGCTAGACGATGCAAGCACTCAGCGGATCTGGCCAAAACAAGCTGCTGCAGTGCTTTGGATGCCACTCGCATTCCCAAAACTCAGCCTGCCCATTCCGTGACAAGGCTGTGATTGAAGTGAGTAGCGCTGTGTCAGAAAGCAGCTATAGAAGGGGCAGGTTGTGTTTCACGACATAGGCTGGCAGTAGTATGTTTATCAGCACTGATGGCAAACGGCTGTTAGGTTGATGCTTTGCTTGCTATCAATAAAAGGCTGTCCTGCCATGTTCCAATGAGAGCACGACTTGACCCAGTTGGCCATTGAATAGTTGAACTGAACACCAGCCAAAAGCATCTCACACATTCTCACACCATTTTTTCCGCCGCTTTGACGTCTTGCCATTTACAAGGTGTCAAGAATCAAAGCGCCCACGCTGCACGTGATCATGATGCCCAGAATGTCCATGAAGACCTGATGTGATCGGGTCGAGAATGTCTTCTATGCTTGTGCTGAAGTAGTCATCGTTGCCCTCGATTGTCCAAAGAGTCTCCATGGAGTCTCTCCATGGAGTCCAGTCTCCATGTCTTGTGCAAAGCGGTGTGTGGTGCTGCAAAACGGCAACAGCTTGGGCCTGGATCATCGCTGCAGCTTGTCCAGGGTCAGCATTCATCCGCCGTAACCTGGAGCTGCGCAGCTTCGTGCGGGCGCCTTCGGGGGGCCCCTGCGGCCCCGCAAGACTCAAAAATGGCCTCCCACTACGCCTGGTTTCCAGGGCACCCGGGTATTCATGGATCATCCATGGATTCTTCATGCATCTCTCCGATGTTCAAGACCTGTTTTTAAGAATCGAAATCTTCAGTCTCAATCTACCAAGTACCTGTGTGGAAAACATGGATGAAGCCGACTATCGCCTCACTACCCCCAACTCCCTCATCTGTGTTGAAGTAACTTGTCCAGAATTAGGCGGTGCAAGCGGCAATTTCGGCAAAGCAGTGCCGACCGCTGCAGCCACAGTTGCAATCAGCAGTGTAGCAGTCGCCAATGTAATGCATGTTTTGATGTCCTTGACCGCGCAGAGATGCCAAGACGAGCGTTCCAAGGTCACAGAATCTCAACAAACAAGCTGACACCATGATGTTCATGTTCATGCCATTGAAAGAACAGTGCCCAGCAAACTCTAATTGTTTCGAATATCTGCAGTGCTGTCAGGTGCTCTAGCAACCAAACAGCAGCTTATCCTTTCAGGATTCTTGTTGAACCAGGATCCTGGTACCCAAACTCTTTGACACACCTCGCAATGTTCAACTTGCTCTAATTGTCCTCACAAAAGATCTCTCTATATACAGTATATATTATATATATATATGAATTTTTGGACTCTGCGTAGCACGACTCCAAGGCACACTCCGTGAGGCCAAGCCCCGAAGGAAGGACAAGGGAGCCAAGACCATGCCGATCAGCAAGCCGGTTAGTAACTGATCCCTGGACCAGGGTGATTCTCACAGATGTCGACCCCCTTCCAACCCCTTCCAACCTAGACTACATCTGAGTGGAAGGTGAAGGCTCGTCTATTTCACAGATTGACCTCTCGCAACTCAAGACTGTCAGGTTGGATTGCATCAGTGTGTATCAGAAGAATATGAAAGCCAAGTTTGTTGGTAGATTGCGTTGCAATTGTAAAACTGACAAAGTGATCCATGCCGTGGCAAACTTCTATGGAAGTGTTCCTGCCCACTCAAATGAGCTTCATGATTCCTCGTGACCGTGTGCCTCACTGCGATGGGCTCGTGTTGAATCAGCTTCCGGCAGGTGAGCAGCACACTTTGCCCACCGGTGTTGCCTGCAAATGCGATGCATGACGTCCTCTTATCAGTGCCGAAATGCCAGGAGCACGCAGGGCAAATGTGCATGGCTTGCCACTTGTGCACATGTTTGACCCCAATCAGTTCTGCTACAGAAAGGGTTGAGCGAAGGACATACGCTACAAGATTACAAGATTATGTCGATGGCGCAGCGGTTTTTTTTGAATGGATCAACATCTTACTAAACTGCTGCATCTCTCTGTGCGTGGTGCATGTTGCTGCATGTTGGTGACTTTGATGCATGTAATTCACAACTCTTAGACGACATGCAGCCACCAACTCTTCGACATTGGTCAAAATGGTAGGTGTCTGAGTATCCCTGGAAAAAAAAAAAAAAACAATCGAGGTGAGTTCATACGTCAGCATGGTGAACCAGGTAAGGCCTCCTAGGCCGACCAGCATGGTGAGGAAGAAGATGAGGTCTGTGTTCCTCGCCGAACGTGGCTCGAGCCCATCCACGTTCGCAATGATGATTGAATACTTACACGGATTCCGTGATGTGCGTCGTAGCACAGTTCCACCGCACCGTTAGCTTAATTGGAACCAAGATTGATGTGAAACCAACATTGTGTGGAATTGGCCAAGCCGCAAACCCCTCTACTGCTTATCCTGCACGGGCTGGTTGGTCTGAGAGTCCCACTTCCGGACCAAGACTTCGAAACGCGACAAGATGATGCCAGAGATGCTCCTGCATGCAGGATGACAGGAGGGAGATGGATATTATGTAAAAGGTCAAGCTTCGTTGGAAAGGAAACACTTTGTCTGCTCTTGAGAGGGCAGCTGCACGTGCTCCATGCTCCACCTATCCATTCTTTGTGCTGAAGGCATCCAGGCCGACAGAAAAGTCAATATGCTTGAAGGGATGAGATGTATCTCTATTCATAGAGATTACGCCTGGTGCGAATCTATCGCTGGGCTTCCCGACTGCAAGAGCAACATTGATGCCAGCCAGCCGGCACGTGGCCAAAACTTGTTGAGCGTCTCGACCTGATTTCGGACGCATGGATCCAATGAATCTTCCAGCTTTTTGTTCATTTTTATACATGAAATTGTGAAAGGGTGAGAGATCAAAAGAGGTTAGATCAATAGAACTGCCTTGTGTTTTTAAGCCGCAGCCCTGTGAGCCACCTAGTCTCACTTCTCAGTGCCTGGACCTGGCTGCCTACCACTGAGAATGTCCGCAGCCGCAAGAGCTAACATGAGCCTCCGACATGTATGAGTAACACATGAGGTGGAGAGGAAAGAACTAGACTGGCCAAACCTGATTGAAAAGTGTATTCTAGCACTTGGAACCTAAAGTAAAACTGGATCTCCTTGCAAAATGGTCTTCTCGCTTTCATATCTGCAGGGGCACGGCACGACCGGTCGTGCCGGGGAGCAGGGTTGATTGATGGCCTCTCCCTCTATACATCCATCTCTCATCCAATGCCAACATCGATATCGCCAGTGGCAGAGCCAAACTGAATAGATAACTTGTCTGTGACATGGGAGCACCGGGCAGTAGCTGTGGCTCAAAACGTTAAATACAGTACTCTGTAAATAGGATGTATATAAGTGCTGTAAGTGGCTTTTTGTGGTAGATGAAGTTGCAGGGACTTGTGAGATCATCCCACTTCTGGAAACCACGCCTCCTCGCTCGTGGGCGATTGATCCAAGTGCGGGTCTACAGTGACCTCCCAAGCAGTGGGGAAGACTTCTCTCTTGGACTACCGCGGTTTGCCAGTGCACCAGTTGCACCACCGCAATTTGTTTCATTACAGCCTGAAATCAAGTTGGTGAGCAACAAGGCTTCAGCAGGCATTAAGGACCTTTTGCATTCAGATTTGGCCTGTCAGTAGGCCTGTGACTTTTGATATGCCTCGCTTAGCCTACTTTCTGCACCCTGCCTCGCTTGGCCATCCACTCTCTTGAACATGGCTTTATTCTCTCGTGTGATGCCCCTCAATGTGCCTCGCACTCTGATCTCGGCTCTGGAGGAACAAAACGTAACACCTTGATGCCACAATGTCATCGGGAGGGAAGGAGAGAGGGGACTGGCTTCAACAAAGCTGCAACTTCCTACGGTCTCGACTCCTACGGTACATTGTACGGGGTAAAGAACAGTCATTGCATCGACAACACCTAGAGAGAGCCCGTGACTGACACGTGAAAAATCACAGGGCCAGGAGGGAAAGCGCCTGGCATCCCATGAGCAAGGCCATGATGATGCCACAGCTCAGGACCTGTTTTCAACTGCTAATATTATATCTCAACTATACGAGTGGCAATGTTCGACAAAGCAACAAAGTTGGTAATTACAGCGGTACGGTCGATTAGTTGAATAACATTGCTCATCTGCATCAAGAAACGATTCCCCGTTTCAAAGATAAAGAAACAAGTTCAGGCTTGGCCCGTGCGAACGGCCATGTCCCTTCCCCGCCCCGAAAATGACGCCAGAGAGAAAGTCGTGATTGCTCCAACGCCTTGGAAGTGCAACGAGGCATTTGCAGCACAGGCATTCCTCGTTATTTCCCTTAAGCAAGGTCTTATTGGGTAGAACGAATTCCTCTCTTCTGTTGTGGTTACTTGGAAGTGTATGCCGATAGCTATGTAGCTACACCGCACTTGTTGAGGACCAATATTTGACAAATGCGTCAGCAACGTTCCCAAGCTCGACACACAAGGTTTGTGGGATGGAGGAAAAAGGCTGGAAGAGAGCAACTACATCACGGAGGTTTGTGGGATGGAGGAAAAAGGCTGGAAGAGAGCAACTACATCACGGAGGTTTGTGGGATGGAGGAAAAAGGCTGGAAGAGAGCGACTACATCACGGAGGTTTGTGGGATGGAGGAAAACGGCTGGAAGAGAGCAACTACATCACGGTAGGTTGGACACAAATGAAATATCCTCAAACATCATGTGTTTAAATAAGTGTGTGGATTTGTTACAGTACTCGAAGCCCGAGCCCTCGATATTGGAGCCCTTGAAGGCTGCTTGGCAGGGTCACCAGCTCCAAAGACTGGTTGAAATGATCTGCGAAGCTCAAGTGCTCAATGCTGGGGAGCTTCACTCGTTCCAAGCTTTGCTTGAAGTTGGTACCAAATGCGATGCTCTGAAGATATCTTGGGAGGACCACCTTGTCTAGGCTTTGATTGAAGTCATTGCCAAATCTCAAGCTTTG